ATCGAGGGCTGGGCGGCGCTCTACAAGATCACACTTCTCGATCTCTTCGTCACAACCGCGTTCCTCGGGCTGCTTGACAAGGGCAGCAAAGACCGCGCGGGGCACACGGCGTGCGTGATCAACATCACGAGCATCAGCGGGTACACGAAGCTCGCGCAGAACCACGTAAGTCTTAAGCGTGCTCTGTCCCTCCTCCGGTCCGTGAGCTGAGGCGGAGGAGTAGTTTTGCTACAACAGCGCGAAGGCGGCAGCCTCGCACCTTACCAAGATGATGGCGACCGAGTTCGCGCTCAAGGGCGTCGACGTGCGCGTGAACGGCATCGCGCCGGGGGTGTACGCGTCCGAGATGACCTTTACCGACATCGACGGCGAGGAGCAGACCAACAAGGTCGGCCAGCCGCTGGTGTCGATACCCATCAGGCGAGCCGGGACGTAAGTGCCTCTTCCCTCCTAGTGGGCCTAGTACGAATGTCGGCTGATGCATACGCGCTGCACAGGGCTCAGGAGATGGCGGGGACGGCGATTTACCTCGCCTCTCCCGCAGGCTGCTACACGAACGGACAGGATATCATTATTGACGGAGGGTATCTCGCGGTGAATCCGTCTACCGCATGAGGATGCCGATGACTCGAGAGCGGAGAGCTGAAGCGGACGGGCGGGAGGCAGTACAGAGAAGTATGGTTGTGTGTATGATACTTAAGGACCGATGTGTCTGGACAAATCACAATTTCTTCATAGTGTGGGTGAGCAGCCTGAGGTCCATAGGATTGAACACAACCTCCTTGTCATTGTTTCAACGGGTTTACCATGATTCTTGGTTGACATCCTTTATGGATATTGAGTAGTATATAACGTCCATGCGACCCGTAGGCACGTGACAGTCACACACTTACACGTGACATCGGCGTGAAGTTATGGATACGTGTGTAACGGCACACTTGCACCTTCACTCAGTAAATTACCACAGGATACCCTCCCAGGCAAACACCAGAAAACCTCACATAAATGCGTATGAAAGACCGTTTGGGCATATTTATACTCTTATAGGCATCTGACTCACGTGTTGTTATCCAGGGATCGTCTTCGTTCTCGATTAGTACATCAAGCCGCGTGTTCTGCGGCAACAACAAGTTCAAACCGTGGTGAGCACCATATAAGGCGCCGCTTCTGCGCCACACGCTCTAACCACAATCCCCATGATGTCTGACAGTGTGAATGACAGCGACGCGGAATCTACCCGCTCGGCCACACCTATCGCAAGTGAATATTCTTCGCGGTGGTCCTCGGAGCAGCCGTCTCTCGTGCCCGATTCGAGCGCACCTTCATCTCCTACGCCGTCGTCCGAGACAGAGACACGTCCCTCCACCCCGACTGCAAGGCGCGACAAAGGCAAAGCTCGCGAGGGATCATTCGAAGCCGAAGCCCCATTGCTGCAAGACGCGCCCCCGGACTTTGATCCCGAGGCTTGGTTCCCAGAAACTGGTTTTAGAACTGAGACTATACAGATTAATCCCTGGGATCCACCGTTGGCAGGTTCCGAGCCAGTGGAGGAGCTGTCGTACTCTACTGGTATCAAGCTGGGGAACTTAGCTCCCGACACCCCTCCTCGGAAATCACACCCTGACCATCAATACGCACCATCAGATTCCAAGGTTATGGATACACCAGCGAAGTCTACTTCAGAGGCTCTCGACACCAGTCGCGTAGATGAGCTCCAGTTCGCGCTAGGAGTAGAGATGGAGGATTGGGTCGATGGAGGTGCCGCGTTCCTGGCTAGAGTTCTGAAGCCTCACACGAAGGAGAAGCAGTTCTCAGACATGCCCTCTGACTCGGAAATTGATGAATTCCTCAAGACCTACGAGGGGTTCGAGTGGACTGACCCCCAGGCCACTCCTCCTGAAGGCTCGAAGGGGGGCAGTCACGCTAGTAAGAACCCCGTGCGTACCCGTAGGACGTCTTTGCGCTCCAGGAAGGATTCCGGCAATACCTCTTTTAGATCTAGCAAGCCACCTGGAGAGCCGCCGTCCCCGCCGTGGAAATGGACGGACCTGCCCAAAGGCCCTAAACGCGAGAATGTGTTATATAAACCGTTCGAAGTCATCATATCTTGTATACTGCAACATTTCGGTCGTTCGACTCGCAAGGCGGTCGACACACACGGAGCATCAATGCCCCACTCGCAGGACATATACCAGACGCAACTCAGTTCCAGCCCAGACATCTGTCTACTAGGGTATGGCCCCTCCATTGCAAAGATACAAGGCATCCCGACCAATCCAGCGTATACTCACGTAGTAGCGCCTATCGAAATCAAGTGCGAGAAAGCCGCCGCGGGCGAAAGGGACCAAGCCGCAGCTCATATGAAGCACAGTGTACAGCTCGCCGTATACGCGCGCGAGTGCTTCGCACAACAGCCGAACAGACGTTTCGTCTACGGTCTTCTTCTTACAGAGAAACACGTCCGGTTATACCAGTTTGATCGTGCTGGCGCCGTCTTCTCAGGGCGCGTCCCGATACATAATGAGGCCACGACTTTCGTCAAACTCATCCTCGCGCTGTCTACTGTGGACGAGGTGCAGCTCGGTTTCAATGACAGAATCAGATGGAAGAATAATGATCTGTATTGCATAATGGACGGAGTCGGTACGTACAAGATCTGCAACGTGAAGCCGTTCCATAGACGGACGATACGGGGGAGAGGGACAACATGCTGGGTTGTCGAGGATCCGGACGAGCAGGGCAGCCGACTTCTGCTTAAGTTTGCCTGGCGGACTCTAGACCGCGTACCGGAATGGGAGTTTCTCGAAGAGATCCAGCGCAAGTGTGGGCGTATACCAGGTGTCAGCGAGCTCCGCGGTCGCGGGGAAATCGAGCGGATCTCGGACCTGCGCAACGGCGCCCCCTTGCTCACCCCTACAAACAAGACCATCAACGATCGTCAATACTACTACGTCTTTCAGCCCTTTTATGGGCGAACGCTAGAGAAGGCACCAAACACTTTGATACTCTTGGAAGCTTTCCGTGACATTATCGCAGGTATGACTTCTATTTCGGCTCTTCCTAACGGCATATAACGATGTCCCAGCCCAATGGGAGCTGGCACGGCTTGACATCGTGCATCGCGACATCAGTACGCAAAACATGCTGCTCAACGAAAGGCCCGATGCGCAAGTGGGTGAGCGGGGGGTCCTGATTGATTTTGACATGGCCAAGCGTGTTATCCGAGATAAGAGTGGGGCGGAAACCGATTTCCGAACGGTGAGTTCTCCAGCTTTGTATTCATGGACGGATACTTATACTTGACCACAGGGCACTCGTGTTTTCCAGTCCATCAAGGTACTGATGGGTTATGGGACCCACGACTACCTAGATGACCTTGAGTCAAGTTTCTACGGTATAACATGGATCGCATGCACGAGCGATCGCCCTGGCTGTCCGCGCGACCAGATACCAGAGAACTTGATCGGCTGGGGATCGCAAAACTTGAAGACAGCGGCAGACAACAAGATTCTCTTTCTTAACCACAAGGACGTGGCGCAATTTGTCTCGCCAGGAATGGGGATATACCTAGAAGCACTGGTTGTGGAGCTTCACGCATTTTTCCAGCGGACGGTACTTCCCATGATCGACAAATTCCAGGCATCTCGGCCTGCTAATAAAGAGGAAGAAGAAAGAGCGAAGCGTACCATGGCAGTACGGAAACGAATACAGGCACGACTGGGCCTTGACAAGTCCAAAGACTCGGAGAGCGTGCAAAACGTGTCAGAGCGTAAGCATCTTTCATCCTTTATTCTGTCAAAGCTATTCACGGTAATACCATAGCAGCCAAAACTTATGATGCCCAGAGGGATGAGCATTTCCAACAGGTCCTCGCAATTGTGGATCAGGTCCTCGCAGACATGCAGGAGCCCGATGCGGACAAGATAGCTCCGCCAGATTCTAAAGATGGCAACGGGTCGAGAGGCAGCTACGAACAAGAGCACCGCGTGCCCGTCTGGGAAGGCTCTTACTCTTTCGAGTCAGACACCAATTCTGCATCCTCGGGGAGGACACTCCCCTCGCCATCAGCCCAGAAAGTTTATGTGCTGCTACCCCCGCCTCATCAAGTGCAAAAGAAAGTGAGCAAGAAACTGCTCCTGGATCATGTGTCGATGCCGCCGAAGCCATCGAAAAAGGAGAAGGCGAGGAGGGACTCGTCCAGTACTCAGTCCTCAGGCAGCCAGAAGCGGACTCGGGAACTCGAGGACGACCTCAAGCGCCGTGATCTGGGAGACGCTAGACGGAGCTCGAAGAGGTACAAGAACAAGAGGGGTTTCCGGGATCCGAGTCCGAAATGATTGCTGCTCGACGTTTATCATCTAGTTCTATCCTGTTTTGTCGTATCGTTTTGTTTACTTGCTTTGCTGCGCTGCTCTCGTCGTCGGCTGTAACTTACAGTGTCTATGCGTGTCACGTATCTGAGTGGAGTCTCGTCTGCATATTATGACGGGGAGATTGTAAGAGTAGGTCGCGTCGCCCTATTCATGGCGAGCGTCCTTCGGAGATGCCCTTCGGTAACGACTCGGAGCGCGCTGTGGCAACGCGTAGTTGATTGGGTGAAGTACGCATACCACACCCACATACATACATGTACCTTGCCGGCAGGACCACCTGAAGACATCTTTCTCTTAAACGTGGAGACATCCCAAAAGCCGGCGTGTCCAGGCCTCCGCATGTACAGGTGTACAGTGCCAGGCGAAACGTTGCTCTTCCTACATACATACATGCCAACTACTTTGGCGGGCGTGTTTCTTGACTTTCTGACTCCAGCACGGAGCGCTTGTACGAGCGCGCGAGCGAAACGCTCCGAGCTAGTTTCACTGGAGGGGACAGCGACAGGTGCTTGAAGCAATAGAAATTACAGCAGCCCGGCCGGGGTTCCACTCGAGTGGTTCGGTGCATCCCGGCACGATTGCAGGTCCCGGTCGAGGGATAGAGTGGCCCCTTTCCCGTCTCATTCTGGGTCGATGCGCTTCGGTGATAATGCTACCGTCTCAATATGAGTCTACAATGATTCCGCGGACTTGAGCATATATGACGATAGACACCAGGGTTTCTAACCGCAGCTTCATCGAGGTGATTTTCCCTTGACATATCAGGTATTATTAATAATTCCAGAATCGGGAGGACGGACACGTTGGATCGCCAACACAACGCAGGGTCTCTGGAGGCGTGAGACCGGCCTAAATTCGGCCGGGAAGTACATACGCTAGACGTATCAATTCCAACCGGTAGAAGGTCGAAACTGTCCAGCTACCGTACGAAAAGCACCGTATGCCATAGTCCCCGCGCTGCCTAAGCTTCGGCGATGGCGCTATATATGGCATACACCTTGACCTTGGGTGCGCCCGACGTTGTCTTGACCCTTGATTCAGACGAAGATATACATACCAGTTATTGGGGCGTGCTTCCAATTTTTTTGGGGGAAGCAGGATGTCGTGTTCTTGGGAGTGAGGGCGTTCAAGTTGTCAGGCAGAGTAACTCGACCTTGGACAATGGACAGACAATTGCAAGCTCAGAGTCAGCACGTCGTCCAACCCTGACCCTGAAACGTTGGAGACGACGAAAATACGACGTGCAAGTTCCATGCAGAGGCTGACAGATAATTCGAGCGCCTACCTGCTCATATCGTGTTTTATCCTGATTTATGGTGTTAAACAACGTCCAAGGCGTGTCTATAACTCTATTAATACGTTCACGCCATGTCACGCATGTACACGTGACATCGGCGTGAAGTTATGGATACGTCACGTATTACGTGTGTAACGGCACACTTGCACCTTCACTCAGTAAATTACCGCAGGATACCCTCCCAGGCAAACACCAGAAAACCTCGGGTAACCGCGTATGAAAGACCGTTTAGGCATATTTGTACTCTTATGGATCGTCTTCGTTCTCGATAAGTGCATCAAGCCGCGTGTTCTGTGGCACCCACAAGTTGAAATCGTGGTGAGCACCATATAAGGCGCCGATGCTGCTCCACACGCTCTAACCACAATCCCCATGATGTATGACAGTGTGAGCGACAGCGACGCGGAATCTACCCGCTCGGCCACACCTACCGCGAGTGAATATTCTTCGGTGGTCCTCGGAGCAGCCGTCTCTCGTGCCCGATTCGAGCGCACCTTCTTCTCCTACGCCGTCGTCCGAGACAGAGACACGTCCCTCCACCCCGATTGCAAGGCGCGACAAAGGCAAAGCTCGCGAGGGATCATTCGAAGCTGAAGCTCCGGGAGCTCGATCTTGAGACTTATTTGCCATATACAGGCACTGCATCTGAGACTATTGGAGGATATTCGGAATACCCACTTATAGCAGGCTCAGAACCGGTAGCAGAGCTATTTCACGCTCTCAGAATGCGGAATTTGGCTCGCACTACTCCCCCCCGCGACCCTCCCTCTCCCGGGGCAGTCGGTCCTCCAATTCCTGCTCCTTTCCCTATCCCTCAATATGCGGCATCTGATTCCCAAGTTGAGGATACTCCAGCCTCAGATGCGGTCGATACCGAGAACGTTGACCAGCTTCGGTCCGCGTTGAGAGCAGAAATGGCGGGCGGCTGGGTTACCGGGGGTGCAGCATTTGTACCTAACGTCATTCAGCCGAGCGAGAACGAGAAGGGGTTTTCAGACATGCCGTCTGATGAAGAGGTCGAGAAATTCCTCGAGACTTACAACGGTTTCAAGTGGACTAGTTGCCATGGCACCCCTTCAAAAGGGCCGGGGGATGGTGCCAGCGCGAGCGGTGCCCGGACACGTACGTCGTTGCACCCTAGGAAAGCCTCAGGCAATAGACATCCAGCACCTAGTAGCCAGTCACCCGAAGACTCTCGGCCCCCCTGGTGGACCTGGACGTGCCTGCCAAACGACCCAGACGAGGAGGCTGAACTGGACAAACCATTCGAGACCATCATGAATGACATACTGAAGTTTTTCGGCCGTTCGACTCGCCAGGCGATCGCCACGCATGGCCAGCAAATGCCCCACTCGCGGGATGTACACGCGACGGAGTTGAAGACCAGCCCGGACATCTGCATAATTGGCCATGGCCCCTCGATCACAAAGGTCCAACGTTTGCCGAACAAGCCTGTGTATACTCACGTAGCAGCGCCAATTGAACTCAAGCACGAGAAAGACGCTTACGAGGGGAAGCAACCAAGCCTAGGAGAATGGCAGGCCGAACCTCACACGAACCACAAGATACAGCTAGCGGTCTATGCCCGGGAATGTTTCGTGCAGCAGCCCAATAGACGCTTCGTCTACGGTCTCCTTCTTACGGAAAAATATGTCCGACTATTCCAATTTGATCGGGCTGGCTGCTTGTTCTCGGGGCGTATCCACATACACAGGGACGCGCACATGTTCGTCAAACTCATCCTCGCGCTATCTACCACGGACGAGGCAAAGCTGGGGTTCGATACCCGGATCCATTGGGAGGATCAAGACCTGTACTTCTCTCCCAAGGTGGGCGAGGCTGTCAAGTACAAAGTCTGCAATGTGAAGCCGTTCCATAGGCATACAATACGGGGGAGAGGGACAACATGCTGGGTCGTTGAGGATCCGGACGACAAGGGCAGCCGACTTCACCTTAAATTCGCCTGGCGAACTCTCGAACGCGTGGCGGAGTCTGTGTTCTCGAGTACATCAATATCGAGTGTGTGGCATTCGGGTGTCAGTGA